ATCTGACAGGCTCATTTATCACCTGATGGCAGGTTACTTCCTGTCTAGGACAGAACACTCAATTTGTTCTGGTGAGCTGAATATTAGAGCAGACGTGCATTCTGATGAAGTTTATTAAATAGTAAAACTTTAAAATGATCTGTTCTTGCACAGTCTTATTTTCACAATCTTATTGACTATGCACAAGTGTGCCGAGTTTTTAATATTCAATTAACCCTATAAATGATGAATTTAGATTAGCAGTTTCACCGTGCCACATCCTTAAATCACCATTGGAATGATTTTAAGCGTTTGTGAAATGCCTGAAAATCTAAGTGAAAACATTTCCAAGGGGTCCCAAACTTTTCATTGTATGTTGCAACATGCATTGCTATTCCACCCAGGACCATGTTAAGCTGCTACCAAAATAATAGAGTGCAACCTTTCCAAGGGGTTTATGCACGCTCAGAGATAGAACCTCAGAAGGACCAAGCATGGTCTGGTAGATTCTTTTTGTTTGGGGGGGTATTTATTTTGCAGAAGCCTTTATTTAAAGGGTCAGTAGAACTTAAAACCACATTTATCTTTTTGGGATGTCAAATATACATAAAACGCTGGCCTCTCTGATCTGCTTTCCTGACTGAAAAAAGTTTGTTATGTAATCCTCGGACAAGGTTGGACTGGCCGCTTGGCATTCTGGGCATGTCCCCATGGGATCAGAAAATAACTTTAATGTTTTTTGGGCAGTTGGGGACCCAGCTGGGGTTCACTGGCCAACCAGCGCATTTTATATTCATGTCTTGCTGAAGAGACAAGGAAAACTCGTCTTTTATTGCAGGTCTACTTTGTGGGGTTGAGTTTGGCCATTTATGAACACTCCTCTGTGCAGAATTAAACAGAGGAGGAGTCTGGCAGGCCAGGCTAGCACATTTTGGCCTGTGTGAAGAAACTGGAGCACCTGGAGAACACCTATGCACGCACGGGGAGAACATGCAGACACCACTCAAAGGCCTCAGCTAGGTTTTGAACCTAAAACCTTCTTGCTAGGCATCAATGCTACCAACTGCACCACCAAGATACAACAAGGTCCCCACACGCAGCAAAATGTCTCTCGGGTAAGGCAACATTAAAATAGGTATAAATCGTAAAACAGTCATCATAATAATTTATTCCATTTACAGAAAATCATATTATGTGCTGGGGTAGTGCGTTCACCTGGTGCTGTGGATATTAACTGTTAACTGAAACCAGGTGACGCACTGCTCCAAATAAACAATACTTATCAAATAATGTACTTAGACTCCTCATATACTAATTAGGGTTGTTTACTTTGGCAATAATCGTTTTCAATTTCACGCCATTTTAACTTGAAGTTAATTAAAACAAGGTTGTTCATTAGTGCGTTTCCAGACCCTAGCCACAGCACCTGCACCCTAATGCCATGCAAATAGGTGGCAGGAAGAAACTAAAGTGCTTTTTACATTTTGTTCAAGGAAGTCTCCCATGAAAAAAAACGCCATAATAGAATAGAAAAAAACAATCCATTAAAATAACCCCACAGATGTACTCACAGATGGAAATATATACAGTTATTAAGAGTTCATAAAGAGACATTTGCAGAAATGAGGCCATAAAAGGGGGTTCTCTTCCATTAAAGACATGTCAATTTCAAAGGCATCACAGCATGAAATGCTCATTTTTATGCTCTAATATTCCCAGACTGGCTGCTGCCCTTGTGTTATAACGGGATGCAGACGGCAGACACAGGAACGATCAGGTGCTTATCAACATTTTAAATGAAATACTCTCCAGAGGGTTGTGTCTGTCTCATGAAAAATAACCCAATTAAAAGAGGCTTGACAAATGACCTTTGTGAAGGTAAAAATAATTAGCAGAATAGCGCCTGGTGAAGAATTCTGCTGAGAAACACAAAGCTTCCATGACTTGAGGCGGCTCTCATGTTGGTTCTGCTGTCGATTGACAAACTGGGTGGGAAGTTTGCGCCGGTTCCAATTGCTCTCATTGTTTCAAGACAGACAACAACAAAACACGCCAACAGCATCAGAAGTTAAATATTTTCACTGCAGTTTGTCGCTGTGAAATCCTCGGGTTCCGACGGAGAGGCTGGAGATTTTTGGCACAAAACAAAGTGTGTTTGGATAGATTTGCCACACGGGACAAATGTGGCCTATCTGAAACAGCAACAGCAGTTTAACAAACGCTGTTTCTTTTTTCCCGACAAAATTCAAAGGACAAAATACTTTCTACAGCTAACCTTAGAAAATCCCGCCGCAATCCCAAGATAGGCTTCAGAACCATAATCTCTTTTCTTCACCAGTAAGGCCAACTCATATGAGATTTTTTTTCTTTTTATAGTGGAAAAAGTCAACGTCAGAGCTCTAACAATTCTCCTCCCAGTCTGTAGTATTATCAGACTTTAGGATGCAGACCAGCCCTTGTGCATTAGTTTTATGCTTAATCTGAATAAGCTGAATACATTTTAGTGCTTGTGGAGTCTGGATTCAGTGAAAGTTTGTTTACTTTAAAGCTCTCATATACTCGTTATTTAAATAAATCTACTGTGGTCACAAAATGAATGCTTTGTGAATCGTTCTCTGTGGATTAAAAGTCCTGGCGCTCCTGTTTCAGGAAGCAGAAGTTAACTAGAAGAGTGGGGAGCAGAAAACAGCAGGAGTTGAAGTCTTACTCATCATGACTCATGATATTCAGACATCTCAGCTAACTGGCTAACAACATGACCATCACCGACTCTGTTTGCACTGCACCATTGATGTTTCATCTCCACGAATAACACAAGCTTGAAGGAGTTCTGCCATGTGGTGGAGTTGCTAATACTAATGGTTAGCTTCTACTAGCCGAGACCATTGACAGTTTTAAAAAAAAGGATGGACACTTTGCAGCATCGCCCTTTCTGGATCCAGCTGCTAGCGGATGAGGGCAGAACTGCAGGTTTTACCATTTCCACGTTGGCTTTATCTTTGGTAGGCGGAGGTAGGTTCATGTTGTCTTTGTGATTAATGATTATTACATTTATTCATGTAGTAAGAGAAACGGTGTGGTTTTTAAAGAGTTTTTAAGGAGTTTCCCCTTGGTTAAGGTTAATTCTGGTATCTCCTGGCTGCTAAGTCAACAACAGTCTTCCACATTCGCAAGTCAAGATGGATGAGTCCATGAATGCTTATTTTCTGTGTGACGTACCCCGTTTGGCTTTTTCTGACCTGAACATTTGCTCTATTTTGCTTCGGCAGTTCATGCAGGAAACAGGCATAGAAGAGAATTTTCACGTTCAGCCTCCAAGTGAAACTCATATTTAAAAAAGAATGAGAAATATACATTTCTCAATGAAATTTACCTTTGAAGTGGATTCATGAACCTTAAAGCTGCTCTAGCAAATCTACTGAACAAGCTAGGTTTTGAACGCAAACATGGTCGTGGGACACTCAGCCCTCCCTTCGAGTATCTTCCCTTCTGCCAGAACCGGAAATCTGCATAACCAGCGGTTAAGAGACATCGCTAAACACCAGTCGTTGTTTTCTAGGTCCAAACGTCTTTGGTCCGTGACTTCAAATGGTGTTTTTCTTTTTGGGACTCTTCTAGTTTGTCCTAAAGTTGAAGTGGTAGCAGCCGACTCTTTCTCCTTCTCTGATGTTATTGAGAGAAGAACCTCTCACACCAGTGGTGTTCCGTTGCTAAATGTGTGGCGGTTCAGCAAGACCGACAACTGAATGATCCAATGGTTGCGTTCAGTCTGAAACGTGTTATTGGCGAAGATTTTTTGACAAATACGAGAAAACCACTTCATGAATTTTTTTTCATCATTGTTAAATCTCCACAAAAAAGCATGAAAAAAGTTTTAAGGGGACAATGTGTAGTTTTAACCATTAATCTCTGGAAATATCCATCAATATGTTGTTGAAAATGAGTTAAATGATGTCCATTTGTTGAAAAGTATCTGTGGATTCTTAATATAAACATAAAAATTAGGTCTAAAATACATGGGAGTGGGTCCAAGTCTACGGACGACGCCATGTTTCCTTGTACGGGAGCCCTTGAGGACAAAATGCATTACTGATTTGTAATAAATGGTTAAAAAACTTTCACCATTCCTAAACGTTGTTGTTTTAGAAGAAGAACAACAACAAAATATCATTTCTATAGCGCCTCTCAAGATAAAAATCACGAGGCGCCTCACTAAAACAAATTTAGAATTTAGAAAATGATTACAAATATATTTTAAATGAGCAAAAAATAGACAATTGTGATTCTAATGTAAAGAAAGAGAGAGATTGAACAGGAAAGAGGGAAATCAGTGGATCCTGAGGAAGGTGGAATAGGTGGGGAGAGCAGAACAAGGAGAGGGTGATGCAGGTCACACAAAAGCCAGTCTGAACAGGTGAGTTTTCAGCTGCTTTTTAAAGGAGACCACTGAGTCCACTGATCTCAGGCTCAGGGGGAGAGAGTTCCAGAGTCTGGGGGCCACAGCAGCAAATGATCTGTCACCTTTGGTCTTTAGCCTGGTGCTGCACAACCAGTAGGCTTTGGTCACTGGACCTCAGGGACCTGCTGGGGGTGTAGGGACTAAGAAGGTCACCAATGTAAGATGGTGCTTGTCCATGTAAGGCCCTATAGACCAGAACCAGGATCTTAAAATGAACCCTGAAGTTGACTGGCAGCCAGTGAAGCTGGAGGAGAAGTGGGGTGATGTGGGTGTGTTTGGAGGACTTGGTCAGAAGCCGAGCACAGGCGTTCTGAACCACCTGTAGACGGTTCAAGTTTTACACATTTACCTCTTCACTCGTTGCCACAGATAAAAGGGAGCCTGATGTGCTCATCATTTTGCTCATCTTTTTGACCCTAGTGGGCATCCGTTTGTAACACTTTGGAAGCGCTAATGAATTAAGTTACATTAAGTATGGCTAGTGTATACTGACTTTATCAGAACCCAGGAACAACTGCTGGAGCTGGTTGTCAATAATAAAAGAATACACAACACATTGAAATAGTTTGCAAAGACAATATATTGAATAATTATAAATAAAATAAACAAACACAAATTAACAGGTTCCACTGCTGCAGCACTGATAAATAAGTTAAAGTGCACTTTGAAAGTTCTAGTTCTAGTGAACGTTCTAGAGGAACACTCTGACTTCGGTCTGATCCCCTGAATAGTTAACACTCCTTTGCAGGACTTGAAAATCCAATGAATTCACACCGAATTAATTGTCCAGGATGTGATCCGAGTGTCCATGAAAGTTATCCAAGCGCTTTGTCAAAGAGTACTGAAAAGGGAGGTGTGTGAATCCAAGAATTGATTAAGGAGTTGGGGGTGGACAGAGCGTTGTCTGAGACAACTTCCTACCAGACCAGTAGGAAGATGAAGGAGAGGTCTTCTGGCCCCTGGCCAATCGTTAGCTCGCCATCCTTAAACCCTTAAAGGGTCACCTGGCCTGTATCAAACAAACAGGACTAGTAAGACATCTTATTGCAAATAAGGTGTCATGTTTCCCTTCATTTCTTGTGTACACAATTAATTCTTATAAATACATGGTGTTAAAATCAATGTGCATAAACTGTACATTCAATACAAACCCATAATATTTTAGAATATCAGTAAAGCTGTATCCAAACCAATATACCGCTATAGAAATACCACATAGCTTGGACAAAGTTAGTATCCCACAAAAATGGCGACCAAGAACTTAGCTTTGAGTTCATCTGTGGTATTTAAAAACAAGATCATGCTCAATTGTTTGAAACAGCATTCATCATACATGGTATTGCATTCGCTACCAGCATGCAAACCACTAGCATGCTAGTTGCTAATATGACACAAACAAACACACTCATCTTAAAACTCACCAATTCCAGCTTCTGTATGGTGTATGATGACCCTACAAGGCTCCAGCTCACAGTTGTCGGTGTCTGAGTCAAGTAATATCTTAGTGAATGTCAAACAAATGCATTATGAAAAAGCTTTGGTTTTTGATGTACTGACCTGCAACAGCTCTGTCACTTGGCTTTCCCCCACATGTCTGCAGGGAGGAAGCCAGTGCAGGCCTTTGATCATGTGATCAATGTCACATGACTTAGGCATGGTGCATTAAATGACAGAAGAGTGTAGGAATTCACCATAACTTGGTAAAACACTGGGCTACACCCTCCCCCCTCAAATCCATGCACGTCCCGCTGCATGTTATCACTACACATGTATGACTGAAGAACCAGAATTGGTGGTAGTGGTGCCTAGAGCATCTGAGAGACCATGCAACAGAGATTGTACAACTGACACCAAAGGATTGCCAAGCTCTGAATATTGAAGTCGTTTAGGCGGTGACCTGTGACGTTTTGTACGCCTCAGAGACGTATCGGTAATAGGATCAGAGTCAGCAGACGTCGGTGATGTGCTCAAGGTAGTCACAGCAGTTGACTCGGCCAATACATCATCAGAGACTTCAGGATCATGAACGTCAGCTGACACATTTTCAGGGATGGGTTCAGATGAGTCATGTCGTTGGGTAAATGAGGGAGCGATGTCGGGTAGACCCTTGGTTGAGATATCTTCAAAAGCAGATCCCAAGGATTTTTCACTCTCGGGATATGCAGTTTCCACAGCTAATTCCTTTGTAGGAACGAGTTCTGGAGTGAGGACTGTAGGCGGTCCACTGGGGACAGACTCTGGGGGTCTGAAAAGTTTCTCTGCTGTAAACTCCATCCGTGGTGGGACAAGATGGACGAAAGCTGGTTCCATCCCATCTTCGTCGCCAAATTTGTAACACTTTGGAAGCGCTAATGAATTAAGTTACATTAAGTATGGCTAGTGTATACTGACTTTATCAGAACCCAGGAACAACTGCTGGAGAAGATGATCAAGTCGTCCAAAAACACTAGGACCTCTTTCAAATGCAAGTTTCCCATGCACCTTTCCATTAGTCTTTGGAACGTTGACGGTGCATTAGTAACCCCTTGCGGCATTCGATTAAATTCCCAAAATCCAATGGGAGTAACAAATGCTGTTTTGGCTTTGTCTGCTTCTTCCATCTCTATCTGATAATAACCAGATTTGAGATCAAGCACAGAAAACCATTTTGAGCCATTAAGAGCTGTGAATGATTCCTCCAAATTGGGCAATGCATATGCATCTTTAACCGTTTGTAAATTGAGTTTACGGTAATCAATGCATAATCGAATGTCTCCATTTTTCTTCCTGACAACAACTATTGGTGACGAAAATGGGGACTCTGACTCCCTGATAACACCAGCATCTAGAAGCTCTCGAAGATGCTTACGAACAACTTCTAAATCCTGTGGATGAATTGGTCTCGCTTTATGTTTAAATGGAGTGTCATCATGAAGATTGATGCAATGTTTCACTTGTTTAGTGCACCCAAAATCTAAGTCATGAAGTGAGAAAACCTCAGACATGGCATTTAGCTTCATGGTTATCCTTTCCTTCCACTCTGATGGTATTGGCGACTCGCCAAAATCAAAACTAAGAGGTGACATTTCCTGTTCTTCAGTCACATAATGCTCTGAGATAATGCAGTTATAGGCTCCTAGTTCAGCAATGACACTTAGAGCTGGAATCCAAATGTCTTGCTCTGTGCTGTTGAACACTACAACGGAAACTTGGGTATGTGACCCTGCTTGAAGGGCAACCAGACAGTTACTGACACACAAACCACCCGGCAGGCCTGAACCCGGATGCTGAATGACAGCACACTGACTAACTGGACTAGAAAATTTAGCAGTACCTTCAACCACCATTGTGCTACCGGCTGGAATTAACACAGGGGTTTTACTACAGGTGGTCACAACACCAAGATGATCATTATGACTCTGTTGATGTGTCACTTGGAGAGTCTGTAGAACTGCGTTGTAGCCATAAGAAGTAGGCTGAAACGTTGAACAGGTGCTGGAGGAAAATTGCTCATGGAGGATTTCAAGGGTGTTCATGCCAATAAGTATGGCATTTGGAAAATTAGGTCTCACATCAGGAACGACCAGTGCAAGGGTTTTAACAGTGAAGTCACTTCCAAGAAAATCTTTCAGAAACGTTATGGAAGTTTCAATATACCCAAGGTATGGGACACACTGACCAGCAGCCCCTTCCACTTGCAGTAGCTCATTTAATGGATGGACTGGTTGATCTGTGAAATACTTGTTGTAAAAAGAAACTGGAATGGTGGTAACTTGTGAACCAGTGTCCAAGAGACACTGACAGTTGTGACCATCAATGTTGACTTCTGCTGTGCATCTGGAACCGATTAACCCCTGGGGTATTCTAGTCTTCGCCTTGGACTGCCGTTCTGCACATTTGGCACGACTTTCCTCCTTTGCGGGACGTAGTTGGTCCAGCTCAGCTCCCATTTGCCCCTCAATAGGAACTGGACTTAGTTTAAATGTTTAGAAGCAGAGTAATTTCGCTTCTGGAATTTTTGCTGCTTGCTGTTAAGTTGTTTCCGCTTCATACTGACTAATGTTGGATTTGGTTCATTTTCACATTGTGGCTTAATGTGACCATCCTCTCCACAACGGAAGCAAAACCCAGGTTTAGGGCTGGAAGTGGCAGGTTTACCAGATTTAACAAACTTCTTTTGCTCAGTCTTTGGGGCGGGGATGGCAGCAGAAGGCAGGTTGACATCCGACCGAGTTGCCATCAAAGCTCTTAGCTGCTGCTGTATGGCTGTCATCTGTTGGGAAAGCTGTTTAGTCAGGGCACTCAGAGCAGAACAAAGGTTTGTGTCTTCTCCAGTATTAACAAACTGTGCTTGTGCAGTAACTTTTTGTCTCACTGTCCCCAGATGTTGCTTCATCCTTAATGTTTTTGCTGCCTCTCTGTCCTCTTCAGTTCGAAGGAGTAATAAAAATTCAGCAAATTTTGGGGGTACGTCTTTTCTTTGTTTAAGTTGCAGTTCTGCTATTAGGTTATTGTCCCAACATCCCCTGCAGAATTGATTCAGGAGTCTTTTGTCCATGTCATCTTTTGAAACACCACCTCTTTTTGCAGCACATTGTAACGCCACTTGCAGGCGTTGTAAATAGGCAGAAGGCTTTTCACCACTATCCTGAAAAGTATCCAGAAATTTTGCATATAGCTCTTCTCCATCTTGCACAGTGCCATAAGCGGAGTCCAGCTGTTTCATATAACCGTTAGGTAGTGTGTCAAGACTCAGATGCTTCACCATGTCAGAGGCAGGAGGCAGCAGACTATCACAAATCAGTCTGGTGCGCTGCAAGTCTGACATGGATGGATCATTCAAAGCTAATTCAACAGCTGACCGCCATGTGTCATAGTCTGTCTCGTGAACTGGCCTAGGCACTTTACCAGAGAATGTTCTCAGTCTATGGGATGCATGCAAAGAGTGATCCCCACTTCGGACAACATGCTCCACAACATAGCGTTGCACTCCAGGAGGATTGAGATCACCAATATCATTGGAAAAACCACCTTGTGCTCCAACACCACTAGAAACAGGGGACAACTTTGGGGGAAAATCAGGCAAGGAAGGAGGAATCACTGATTTAGAGGGTTTTGAATCTGCAGATTCTTCCTTTTTTGCACTCAATAAAGTCTCTGGTTTGAGTTCTGCAATAGACTGACTTATTTGAGACATCACTTCATTAAGAACTTCAGCATAATTCCTTCCAGACAATTTGGCAACTTTTTGCAGGTCTGCTAGGTAGGCATTTGTTTTAGAACCACCCACTGCTGAAGAATAGATATCAGACAGGCTCTCAATTCTAAATGTATCACCCTCATCTGAAACAAATGTGTACGGTAAAATTTGAGACAACTGTACCAAAGATGAGCCGGCAGTGAACTCAATAACAAGCATCTTGTCGAATTCAGATTCTGATGCATCTATAGTAACCTTACGGTTAATGTTACCATACTGTTCAAGAAAATCTATTACTTCATCAACTGGCTGTTCAGGTAGCCCATCAATTAAAACGGCATTTGGAATTTTAATGGCAAGAGTCTCAAATATGTCCATTGTTGATTTTGGATTGGTGAGTTTTAATCTTCAATTATTGAACAAACAGCTCCTGGCTGGCTCGCCAAATTTGTAACACTTTGGAAGCGCTAATGAATTAAGTTACATTAAGTATGGCTAGTGTATACTGACTTTATCAGAACCCAGGAACAACTGCTGGAGCTGGTTGTCAATAATAAAAGAATACACAACACATTGAAATAGTTTGCAAAGACAATATATTGAATAATTATAAATAAAATAAACAAACACAAATTAACAGGTTCCACTGCTGCAGCACTGATAAATAAGTTAAAGTGCACTTTGAAAGTTCTAGTTCTAGTGAACGTTCTAGAGGAACACTCTGACTTCGGTCTGATCCCCTGAATAGTTAACACTCCTTTGCAGGACTTGAAAATCCAATGAATTCACACCGAATTAATTGTCCAGGATGTGATCCGAGTGTCCATGAAAGTTATCCAAGCGCTTTGTCAAAGAGTACTGAAAAGGGAGGTGTGTGAATCCAAGAATTGATTAAGGAGTTGGGGGTGGACAGAGCGTTGTCTGAGACAACTTCCTACCAGACCAGTAGGAAGATGAAGGAGAGGTCTTCTGGCCCCTGGCCAATCGTTAGCTCGCCATCCTTAAACCCTTAAAGGGTCACCTGGCCTGTATCAAACAAACAGGACTAGTAAGACATCTTATTGCAAATAAGGTGTCATGTTTCCCTTCATTTCTTGTGTACACAATTAATTCTTATAAATACATGGTGTTAAAATCAATGTGCATAAACTGTACATTCAATACAAACCCATAATATTTTAGAATATCAGTAAAGCTGTATCCAAACCAATATACCGCTATAGAAATACCACATAGCTTGGACAAAGTTAGTATCCCACAAAAATGGCGACCAAGAACTTAGCTTTGAGTTCATCTGTGGTATTTAAAAACAAGATCATGCTCAATTGTTTGAAACAGCATTCATCATACATGGTATTGCATTCGCTACCAGCATGCAAACCACTAGCATGCTAGTTGCTAATATGACACAAACAAACACACTCATCTTAAAACTCACCAATTCCAGCTTCTGTATGGTGTATGATGACCCTACAAGGCTCCAGCTCACAGTTGTCGGTGTCTGAGTCAAGTAATATCTTAGTGAATGTCAAACAAATGCATTATGAAAAAGCTTTGGTTTTTGATGTACTGACCTGCAACAGCTCTGTCACTTGGCTTTCCCCCACATGTCTGCAGGGAGGAAGCCAGTGCAGGCCTTTGATCATGTGATCAATGTCACATGACTTAGGCATGGTGCATTAAATGACAGAAGAGTGTAGGAATTCACCATAACTTGGTAAAACACTGGGCTACACGTTGTTAAGGTCTTACTCCAACACAAAATACAGCTTCCTTGAAACAGTTTAGGTATCTACTGCCCCCATCACCAGGAAAAATACACATTGTCACTTTAAGCTAAGTTTTCCAAATTTGCTATTGCAGCTTTAACCAGTGTGCATTTTACAATCAGAGTAAATCTCACTGTAATCTCGGTTTCAGTTTCAAGGTGCATGTGATGGTCCCTTGAGTGACGCTTCCCAGTACGTAGCAGCCATGCACGTCGTTGGAGCCTTCATTAGATGGAGCCGCTCTTCTCTGTGAGGCCAGCCTGGTTCACAGAGTGAGGACTGGGGGTGGGGGTCCTGCGGTGTTTCACAGACCATGCTCCCTGATTGATGTTTTTATAAGTAAGACCTTGCACTGCTTTCCCCCTGGGTCGTGCCTATGCTTCCTGGCATCAATCACACATCATTTCCATTCTCTCGCCGTCTCCTGACAGAAATACTGTAAAGGTGATATATGTATGTGTGTGTGTGTGTGTGTGTTAAGTAATTATTAAGTGTCCTGCTACACTAATAAATCATTTCCATCATACCAACACCTTATTTCAAACCTTTTTCCCATGCACCGTTCACCAATACTTTACATTGTCGCCCATTTTTCTGTAATTACATCAGTGGTGTTTTATGTTTGTGGTGCAGTCGTGTTTCTGGGGGACGAATAACAACGATGCAACAGTCTGGGAGCGAACCAACACGTCTATAGGATGTGTTTGAAGGCCTTTGGACTGCTGCGGTGTTAATGAGATGGCTGCTATCAATCAGTGCTGCAGGAGATGACTGTAAATAAGGCCATGGGACGAGTGGTGACAGGCGGACCCGCTCTGCTCCCTCTCATTTACTCTATGTAAACATGTGTCAGTGTGACAGAGGTCAAGGTTTGGGGTAAATCTGATCATGTCCTCATAATACAACATCCCAGCCCTGCGGCGCTGGATGAAACTCAACACGCTGCACATGAAGAGCAAATGGAAGAAAAGGAAGAGGGTGAAAACTGTGTTATTACAGAAACTGACTTTGCTGCTTTGGTTTCGGGTCAGACTTGGATCATAAGCTGCAGCTTGTCATGAAGTGATTTTAGTAAAACTGCTGCTTTTCTTATGAAGAGTCTGATGCTGTGTTTGGCGTAGCTTAAATATGGTTTTAATGTTGACCCACTTTTGCTGGGTAAATGTTTTCTAAACTACTCAGCACAATCATCTTTCTGCTGACCAAATGCATCATTAGACGGGCTTCAGCAGCAGCCATATTTAGGACAAATTACGGGTAAGTACACTTATCAAACTCACAATCAGCCATGTGTGATTCATTTAAAGGAAAAAACATTCAATTTCATAATCTGCCATGAATATAACCCAGCACGTTTTATTTTTTCCTCCGGATGAAAACCTAAACTGCTTTTTTATATGCTTACGGCATTTTTTCATTACACTGCCTCATTTCATGGATAATGTTGGTATTATCACAAGAACAGCAGTCAGTGAGGGGGAGTTGCTCTAGGATTGCAAGCGTCCCAAGACAGGGCAGGGGACAGAGTGGAGGGCCAACAGCCCTTCTTCTCCCTCACGGTAAAGGCTTTAAAGCAGTCGGCAGCAGTATCACCCGCCTGCCTTATTGCCTTGATCCAAGTGGGTGAAGCTGGTCCAAGCGCTGCTGTTGGGGAGGTGAGGCACAGACGTGAAGAGGTGGAGGACACAGAGGAAGAGTTGAGGAAGACAGAGTGGCAGAGGAGAGTGTGGGAGAGAGAAGAAGAAAGACTGAGCAGGACATGTCCCTTGCCCTCCTGAGAGAGGACATGAAATATCAGAGGGAGGCCAAGGAGAGAACTGACTGCCTTTTCTGTCTCCTGGAGAATGCTTCCCAAATAATAGCCCAAGCTATTTTATGTTTTTCCATTCTTGTAATAGGATCTCATTTTACATTATATGTTCATATGTTTAAAATATGTTCCACATTTTTATTTACGTTCAGATATTTTATAATGTTCCAAGTGTTGTAATAATTTGAAAATATTAGGTCAGATGACAAGACTACAAAGTCTACCATCGACCTGCGACCTAGGCTGCCCTGGTACCAAGTGTACCGATGGGCATCCTTATGTTCGAACATGGTGTTCGTTATGGCCAAACTGCGGCTTGCACAGAAGTCCAATAATGAAACACCACTCGAGTTCAGATCAGGCGGGCCGTTTTTCCCAATCACACCCCTCCAGGTCATGCTGTCATTGCCCAGGTGAGCATTGAAGTCCCCCAGCAGGACAATGGAGTCCCCAGATGGAGCACTATCTAGCACTCGTCCCAAGGACTCCAAAAAGGGTGGGTACTCTGAACTCATATTTAGCCCATAAGTGCAAACTACAGACAGGACCCGTTCCCCGACCCGAAGGCACAGGGAAGCTACCCTCTCGTCCACCGGGGTAAACCCCAACACACAGGCAGAGAGTCTTGGGGCTAACAAAAAGCCAGTTTTGAAAAGTTTTGAATTTGCACCGTCATCCTGACATCACTCACTCCTGCCTATACTGCCTATAAAGGACACAAAGACATATTTTGAAAGATTGTTACTGTTTATATTGACTGTTTATTCAATAAATTAGGCCTGCTTTTCAAACCTTAGCTCTTTTATATCTTTCATATTCTATGTATTATACTTACTGTACACACCACATTACACTTTGCTGATTATTCCACATAGTTGGATATTAAACTGCATTTTGTTGTTCCAGTATTGGTCATTTTAGGTTAGTCCAGTCATCCAGAAACAAGATTCAGGGTGGGTGACTCGGCTAATATCTCCCGCTAACACCACAGACATATTGGACCTGAAAAATATTTTTTTCTACCTCAGAGATAAGTACTTGTAGTTGTTCGCTACCATTTTAGTCTGGACTGTACGTAGCATTACTATGATAAATATATAGTTACCACTTAAAATCATTCTAGTTATTACCGTGTTGAATTCAATTTAATTACGTTAACAACTTTGTTCAAATGACCATGTCAGTCTTCAGTTCTCACTGCCTCCTGGCTGCGGTCTGTGTAGCTAGCTAAAAACAGAATGAACAGCTGAGGCTCTGTCCTCTGAGCACATACTTAGTATTTTGATAGAATTGAATTCATGACATTTTTATCATTCACATATTTTTGTTTCTGCTGTTGGACGATATAACAAGTATGAATTACTGAGTGGAGCGCGGGTCCGGTAGACTACCTGCTATCCGTTGCTATCCCGAAGCTCTCGTCATGTTCGCTCTTCTCATCGCATGAGTGAAAAAAACAAAAGCTCTCCGCTGCTCCTTTGTCACTCAACAGAGAGAAGGAGAAAAACCTCTCGCTCTATAAACTGCGATAAAGCAATACTCGTGAACCGAGTCGCTACTTTTGGCCCTTCTTTAGAGAAATAAATCTAGGCGTGAAAAATCTGTAAATCTAGCCAAAAAGACAGTTGGAAAAACAGAAGTGGAACTGGAACTGAAGGAGAATATGCAATCTGATTGGTTGGAAGCGTCATGTGGGGCGCTGTGCCAGCTAGATGCAGAAATTAAAGGAGAGGCGCTACAGCCCAATATTGCCCAAAATGTTTAATCTGTTTGTTTATCCACAAGGAGGGAAAATTATTTTCCAGGACAACTCAAAAATTTCCAGGACATTTTGCAATTCCCCCCATTTTCCATGTGTTTTCCACGACTGGAAAATTGGACTATAATTTTCCAGGTTTTCCAGGACACGTGGGAACCCTGTACATGTTAAAATGATAGTTAGCTAGCTCCTTTGATAAACTCAGCTAGTAAAAGGAAAAAGGCGGCAGTGACCTAAAATACAAAAATATAATTTAACTTACAGAAAAAAATGAAGTGCTCTGGTTCTGCGACGGGCTCCAAACCAATCTCCACAACTTCAGCTCGCTGTGCACATATGCGCTGACAGCGAGCTGCGCTGAGCAGTGCCCAGCTCAGATGTTCAGATGGGAATCTTTTCTTGGGTGATTTAGCTACATCTGTGATGTGCGTAGAATAAAATGTCAGTTCGTCTGCATGCGTCGGGGTAATTCTTTCTGTTCTTTCTCCGTCAAAATAAACGGTCAAATACGGGAACTATCCGGTCAACACAAGCCCTGCTTTTAACTGTTTTGTTTTCTTGTGAAAATTTTTGGAAAGAGATAAAATTTAACTTGATTACCACCAGAGCCAGTGCGCCGTCATCTCCATGACGGTAAATGAGGGAAAAACAAATTGATCAGACCCTGCACGTCTTTTAACACATTGGTCAGGATTGACGCACTTTGTTTTCATTTAGTTGGTTAAAAAAAGTCGGGCTCGGGTCGGGCCAGAGAATCCTGAAAACCTTTTAGGACCGGGTCGGGCTGGAGCTCCACCCCCTCGGGCCGGGCTGGACACGGGCTCAGATTTTAGGCCAGGCCTCTACCCAGCGGGATACCCTCTAGTAAACAATTCTCATTTGTAAACAAAAATAAAATTCAAGAGTTTAATACAGAACTGATTTATTTAGATATTTCTTTTATATGTACATGTTTAATCTTCCTTAACCATTTTTTCTAGCAAAGTAAAAAGCCTGTTAAAATTCTCCCTTCTCTCCTGTGCCCTCTGCTGCTCTGCCTCCCTCTGCAGCCTCATGTCCTCCCTGATCAGCTCCAGAAGCTGGTCATTGCTGTCACCTTCCCCTGGATGCCCGTTTTCTCCAGAATAGTCTTAACAAACATGTAAGAAAAAAAACAGGAAGAGAAAAGATAGAGAAGAGGACAACGGGTTATTCCTTTCATGCTTTCGCAGAAAAAACTAAACTCCAACGAGTTTTTAAAATATGAGTGTCATGTCCCTGAGCAGAGGTGAGTTCCACCATCTCCTCTCACCAGAATCTGAGTTCATTCTCCGCAGGTGGGGAGCAGAGGGAACTACAGCTGCAGATGATTCCCTAATCAGGAGCACGGGTTTAAAAGGACGGAGACACTTCATTTCGCCGGATGATTGTACCAGTTCAGGTAGCACCAGCCACTCGATTCTGAAACTTTGAAACTTGTTAACTCGTGTTTTGACTCGCCTTCGACTTTTGGATTAT